ACCATCACACTACCACCACCATGTTTCACAGTTGGGATGATGGTTTTACATCAGGATGTAACGGGACGCACGCCTTCCAAAAAGTTCAGCTTTTGTCTCATCAGTCCACAGAATATTTGCCCAGAAGTCTTTGGGACAATCAAGATGTTATTTGGCAAATGTGAGACGAGCCTTTGTGTTCTTTTTGGTCACCGGTGGCTTTGGCCTTGGACCTCTCCCATGGTGGCCATGTTTGCCCGGTCTCTTTCTTATTGAATCCCTGACCTTACCTGAGGCAAGTGAGACCTGCAGTTCCTTAGATGTTGTTCTGGGTTCTTTTATGACCTCCTGGAGGAGTCGCCGTTGTGCTCTTGGAGTCATTTTGGTTGGCCGGCCAGTCCTGGGAACGTTCCCCACTAGTCCAAGTTCTCTCCATTTTGTGGAAAATGGCTCTCACCGCGGTTCACTGGAGTCCCAAGGCCTTAGAAATGGCTTTGTAACCCTTTCCAGACTGATACATGCCAATGACTTTGTTTCTCATCTGTTCTTGAATTCCTTTAGATGGCAGCATGATGTGTTGCTTTTTGAGATCTATTGGTGTGCTTCACTTTGTCAGACAACTTCTATTTTAAATGATTTCTTGATTCAGCGGGTCTGGCAGTAATCAGGCCTGGGTGTGGCCAATGAAATTTAACTTCAGCTTTCCAAAAAAATGTGGTTAATCCCAGTTCATAATTCCCCCACTTACACCAATGAAGGGGCGCAATTCCAATGACACTAATGATGGGGTGCAATTCTTCCCACTTACACCAATGAAGGGGTGCAATTTCAACGACACCAATGAAGGGGTGCAATTTCAACGACACCAATGATTGGGTGCAATTCCAACGACACCAATGATGGGTGCAATTCCAACGACACCAATGATGGGGTGCAATTCCAACGACACCAATGATGGGGTGCAATTCCAACGACACCAATGATGGGGTGCAATTCCAACGACACCAATGATGGGGTGCAATTCCAACGACACCAATGATGGGGTGCAATTCCAACGACACCAATGATGGGGTGCAATTCTTCCCACTTACACCAATGATGGGGCACAATTACATTGATACCAATGATGGGGTGCAATTCCTCCCAGTGACACCAATTATGCGGCGCTATTCCTCCCAGTGACACCAATGATGGGGCACAATTCCAACGACACTAATGATGGGGTGCAATTCTTCCCAGTGACACCAACGATGGTCAGGACACTGTTCCCACTCCCAGTGACACCAATGATGGGGTGCAATTCCAACGACACCAATGATGGGGTGCAAATTCTTCCCAGTGACACCAACAATGGGGCAATTCTGGTTTTTATTCTCACTGACGTCAGGACCTTTTTTTATTCCTTGCGTCCCCCCTAAAGTCTGAAGGACACTAAACTGGCCCTTTGTTTAGAGAGTTTGGAGACCCCTTCCCTCCGGTCTGCTTATATATAATATTTGGGGGTCTAAGTAATTTTCTGCTGATATTTACACAACGGTGTCAGCAGAAGGCCTGCTCGTCACGCGGTTATTGGCACCCCTACGCATTTCCTCAAGTGCGCGGTTTCACGCGTGGTGCCGCAGCATCATCATGGTGGAAGCGTGATTTTGCAGAAGGGGTCAGGGGCTTCTTTTGTGCATTTCTCGCACATGAGGCATCCCATGGGAATTGCCTCCTGGCCCTTTTTAAGTAGTTTTTTTTATTTCGGGGGCGGGGTTTGTGATCACATGACTGCTGTGATTGGCTATCACATGATTTTTTTTTTTAGGTAGTTATATATCGCCATCAATTTACACAGCGCTTTACATATATATTGTACATTCACATCAGTTCCCGCCCCCGAGGAGCGTACAATCGAAGGTCCCCAACTTGCATTCATACACATACTAGGGACAATTTAGACAAGAGCCAATTCACCTCCCAGCATGACTTTGGCGTGTGGGAGGTAACCGGAGTACCCACACAGGCACAGGGAGAACACGCAAACTCCAGGCAGGTGGTGCTGTGGTTGGGAACCAATGACCCGAGTACTGCCAGGCGGAAGTGTTAACCATTTAGCCGCTGTGCTGTAGCAAGTAGAGATCGGGAGCTTTCTGTTAGGGGCCAGTAACTGTTCCAGGGGCGCACACTTTTTTTTTAGGGGGTACCCCTGTTGGCGTTAAGGCCCACCCCCAAGAGCGCATATATGCGTGCGACTGGCGGGATGGCGTTGATTGGCTTCCCTCCATGGGACGCGGGGTATGTCACGCACAAACCTGAAAAGCCTCAACAGCACTGCGCAGAAAGAACAGTCAAAGCTGGCGGTACACGCCTCTTCTACAAGCCGACGCCCATGCGTACAGAGCCCAGCATGCATTGCCACAAATGCGGTGTCATGGCAGACTGCGCTCCTCCGGCGGCGCTTTTCCCTGTAGGATGACTCGCCCGCAGGTGTCATGGCAGACTGCGCTCCTCCGGCGGCGCTCTTCCCTATACGATGATGTGACTCACCCGTGGTGTCATGGCGGACTACGCTCCTCCGGCCGCGCTCTTCCCTATACGATGATGTGTGACTCGTCCGCGGTGTCGTGGCAGACTGCGCTCCTCTGGTGGTGCTCTTTCCTATATGCGCATGTGACTCACCCGCGGGTGTCATGGCAGACTGCGCTCCTCTGTTGGCGCGCTTCCATATAAGATGATGTAACTCAGCCACGGTGTCATGGCAGACTGCGCTCCTCTGGTGGCGCTCTTCCTTGTATGATGATGTGACTCGCCCGCGGTGTCATGGCAGACTGCGCTCCTCCGACGGCGCTCTTCCCTGTATGATGATGTGACTTGCCCGCGGTGTCGTGGAAGACTGGCGCTCCTCTGGTGGCGCTCTTCCCATTACGATGTGACTCGCCCGCGGGTGTCATGGCAGACTGTGCTCCTCCGGTGGCGTTCTTCCCTATACAGTGATGTGACTCGCCCGCGGTGTCATGGCGGACTACGCTCCTCCGGCGGCGCTCTTCCCTATATGATGATGTGACTCGCCCGCGGTGTCATGGCGGACTGCGCTCCTCTGTTGGCGCGCTTCCATATAAGATGATGTAACTCAGCCACGGTGTCATGGCAGACTGCGCTCCTCTGGTGGCGCTCTTCCTTGTATGATGATGTGACTCGCCCGCGGTATCATGGCAGACTGCGCTCCTCCGGCGGTGCTCTTCCCTATACACTGATGTGACTCACCTTCGGTGTCGTGGAAGACTGCGCTCCTCTGGTGGCGCTCTTCCCATTACGATGTGACTCGCCCGCGGTGTCATGGCGGACTGCGCGCTCCTCCGGCGTGCTCTACCCTATATGATGATGTGACTCGCCCGCGGTGTCATGGCGGACTGCGCTCCTCCGGCAGTGCTCTACCCTATATGATGATGTGACTCGCCCGCGGTATCGTGGCAGACTGCGCTCCTCCGGCGGTGCTCTACCCTATATGATGATGATGTGACTCGCCCGCGGTGTCGTGGCAGATTGCGCTCCTCCCTATATGATGATGTGATTCTCCTGCGGTATCGTGGCAGATTGCGCTCCTCCGGCGGCGCTCTTCCCTATACACTGATGTGACTCGCCCGCGGTGTCATGGCAGACTGCGCTCCTCCGGCGGTGTCATCGGTATGGACATTACCCGTCTGCATCCCATCGAGGTTTGTCAGAGCGAATAACACTTAGGCGGCGCGCCACGAAAAGAACACAACAGCCGAGTGACAGAACCGCGAGTTATAGCGAGCCGCCCGGCGCTCGTAAATCAGTCGCCTGATTCATTTGTTGGATGATCGATAGGAACTGACGCCTCCAATATTGATTTCCGGAGTTCTCTCGGCATATAGCAATCACGGGGCCGGCGAGGAGGGCGGGAGGTGCAGACGCTCCGGCTCAGCGCCTCTGATTTAGTGTCAACAAGTTTCCCTTTTCCCAGGCCGCTGTGCGACCAAATGTAATTTTACTACATTATTGATTCCCCGCGAGCCGAGAGGAAGACGTGGAGCCGGAACAAGTATTTCCTGTATTGTAAAGACTTACCTGATCCACCCAACAGATGTATACTAGGCTGAGGTCTGCAAACTCAGAATGAACCAGACGGGCAGATCCGTGATCCACGTCCCAATTCATACCACAGAACACGCCACTAGGCCTCGGTTACACATGCTTCCAATGTGGCATTGAATGCGCTTTTATTAACCACTTCCCGTCCGGCCCATGTATATAAACGACCAATCATATATAAGCAGAGGCCGTAGGGAAGGGGTCTCCATACTTTCTAAACAAAGGGCCAGTTTAGTGTCCTTCAGACTTTAGGGGGGCCGGACTGTGGACATTGGGAGTAAAAAAGGTCCTGACGTCAGCGAGAATAAACCATGCCCCATCGTTGGTGTCACTGGGAAGAATAGTGCCCCATCGTTGGTGTCACTGGGAAGAATAGTGCCCCATCGTTGGTGTCACTGGGAAGAATAGTGCCCCATCGTTGGTGTCACTGGGTAGTGCCCCATCGTTGGTGTCACTGGGAAGAATTGCGCACCATCGTTGGTGTCATTGGAAGGAATTGTGCCCCATCATTGGTGTCAGTGGGGGAATTAGGAACTGGGATTAACCACATTTTTTGGAAAGCTGAAGTTAAATTTCATTGCCACACCCAGGGCTGATTACTGCCAGACCCGTTGAATCAGGAAATCTCTTTAACCACCTCCCATCCGGACGTTGTATATAAACGGCCGGATGGTGGCAGTGCAGGGGCGGGTGGCTGTTTATAAACGGCCCCCCGCTCCCAGCTTGTGCGCTCCCTGTGATCAGGAGCGGGTGGCCATTTATAAACAACCTCCCCGCCCCCTGCTTGTGCACGCTTTCTGGACACAGTAGAACACCGATCGTCGTACGGGACCTCTGTGTGAGGTCCCGATCATGTGATCTCTGATTGGCCAATCAGTGATCACATGAATAGGTGTAAGCAAGATGTCACTTCTGTCATTGCTTACTGTGTGTGAAATCTGTGAATGATCACAGAGATCACATGGTACAGGGCCATTCACAACAGCCTTGTACCATGTGACAAACTGTGACCAATCACAGCTCACTCAGTATTTCTGTGATTGGTCACAGGTTGTCACATGGTACAAGGCTGTTGTGAATAGCCCTGTACCATGTGATCTCTGTGATCATTCACAGATTTCACACGTAGTAAGCAATGTCAGAAGTGACATCTTGTTTACACCTATTCATAGGATCACTGATTGGCCAATCAGAGATCACATGATCGGGACCTCACACAGAGGTCCTGTACAGCGATCGGACACAGCAGGCACTGGATGGAGGTGCCGCGCACTTCCGGGGAGCGCGCACAGTCCAAAATGGTGGGCGCCGTTTATGAAGGGCAACCCGCCCCTGCACTGCCACCGTCTGGCCGTTTTATATATAGCGGCCGGATGGGAAGTGGTTAACTTAACATACACACCCGCAGCGGTTCGCATGAATGGGGTGCGATTCTGATGCGGTGAATTCGCACAGAAAACGCTGAGAATTCCACATCCGTGTGAACCCGGCCTGAACGCCTAGCAAAGCCCGTCACTAAATAAAATGGTCACCTTACATTCCTGTTGCTTTGCTGCAAAAAGTATCCCTCGTGTCGCTTTCTTGGCACTTCAGAGCGTCTCCCAAGCCTCCATAGAAGTCTATGACAAAGCTCACCTGCAGCATTTGAGGGGCTTTTATTCCGCTTTAGCTTCGCTTTGTTTTGGAGGTATTACAGGTATGAGATATCCCAGGATGCACTGGGAAACCAACAAGTCAACCGGAAAGACTTCAGCAGTCACTTCCGGGTTCATGTGTCTATATTCTGGGAGTGTCACATCTGGTGAGCAGCGTGGAGCGGCAGGAAGGTGAGCGGGGTTCGGACATGAGCGGAGCAACTAGCAGATGGCACACGTGATGTGCGACATGAGAACGCTTTGGTGTTGTGGAGAGAGAGGACTGAGCGGGGGGGATCAGCAGAGCTGGAGGAGCAGAATAGGAGGAAATAGATGTCAAACGTAGTGCACAGCATGGCAGCTATATAGTCTGATGTGAGAGGAGACTGTAGAGAGAGAGGAGGATCAGCAAACCAGGGGGTTACTACTGAGCAGGGGTATTACTGAGGAGAGGGAGGGAGTCAGTAGAGCTGGGGGATACTACTGAGGGGGGGGGATCAGCGAATTGGAGGTTACTACTGAGGGGGGGGGGATCAGCAGAGCTGGGGGTTACTACTGAGCAGGGGTATTACTGAGGAGAGGGAAGGAGTCAATAGAGCTGGGGGATACTACTGAGGGAATCAGCAGAATTGGAGGTTACTACTGAGCGGGGGGATCAGCAGAGCTGGGGGTTACTACTGAGCGGGGGGATCAGCAGATCTGGGGGTTACTACTGAGCGGGGGGATCAGCAGAGCTGGGGGTTACTACTGAGCGGGGGGGATCAGCAGAGCTGGGGATTACTACTGAGCGGATGGATCAGCAGAGCTGGGGGTTACTACTGAGCGGGGGGATCAGCAGAGCTGGGGGTTACTACTGAGCGGGGGGATCAGCAGAGCTGGGGGTTACTACTGAGCGGGGGGGGATCAGCAGAGCTGGGGGTTACTACTGAGCGGGGGGATCAGCAGAGCTGGGGGGTTACTACTGAGCGGGGGGATCGCAGAGCTGGGGGTTATCAGCAGCAGCTGGGGGTTACTACTGAGCGGGGGGATCAGCAGAGCTGGGGGTTACTACTGAGCGGGGGGATCAGCAGAGCTGGGGGTTACTACTGAGCGGGAGATCAGCAGAGCTGGGGGCTACTACTGAGCTGGGGGCTACTACTGAGCTGGGGGCTACTACTGAGCTGGGGGCTACTACTGAGCTGGGGATCAGCAGAGCTGGGGGTTACTACTGAGGGGGGGGGACAGCAGAGCTGGGGGTTACTACTAAAGCAAATGGAAACTCAGCGCACACACTCGGCATTTTCCAAGCATCACAGAAGCATCAGAAATGTGTGTTTTAATGTTGTGTAGTTAAATCAAATGTAAGATCCCTGAGGACCTGTTCACACCAGCATTTGGAGGGCGACAAATCTCTGCTGTTGAGCTGTACTTTTCTCGCCCTCCAGCCACCACCTTCTTCAGGTGCAGAGTCAGCGGCGGTCGGGGGTGTACACATGCTGTGGTCGTGCAGCTCGGCTTCATGGCTGTGGCAGCATTCATACCCCCGGGTCATAGCAGCAGCTCTGCACGTCTCCCCACCCCCACATACAGTGCATGCGGCTGCAGCGCCCCAGGGGGCATCAAGGGGTGTAAAGCGGGTGATGAGGAGACAATACAGTGCCTGCTGCTCACTGCCTGCGACCCGTTCCAGTGACTCCAGCATGCGGTGCAGCACTGCGGGGTGTAAGGCGGGCGGTGAGGAGGCAGCCCAACGACTTCCTGCTGCCTGTCAAATGCTCTCTGAAGAGCGAAGTGAATTCGGATTCCTTTTCAGAAAGCGGGTTCAGTGTGAAGGGGCCCTCACCGAGGAAGGGGCCCTCACGTGCTGCAAAGATAGAATACACACGTGTGCTCTGAAGAGCGGTTCAAGTTTGGATCGCTCTTCAGAGAGCATTTGACAGGCAGCGGGGGGGGGGGGGGGGGGCGCGTTGCCCATCACCACCTGCTTTGAACCCCACAGTAGCATGCATTGGATGCCGGATTCACTGGTATGGGTCCCGTTCAGCCAGGTAGTGCCCCCTGAATGCATTGGGGGAGGGGTATAATTCCTGCTGCAGCATATGTACACCCCCAACTGCTGCCCCCCCCCCCCCCCTTCCGGTCGCAGGTCATTGGCCGTCATTACCCACGAAGCTGCTGCAGTGGTCCAGCAGTTTGAAAACTTGGCTCCTAATCCAGAAGAGATTCGGTTCTGTCATGTGACTACTCTGACCAATCAGAATGGCTCCGATCCTCTGTGGAGGCCCTAAGGAATAAAGAAGATTCCTGGACCACCGCATCGGCCGTGTGGGGGCGGGGTCAGCTGATCCCCCACAGAGGTGGGAGGGGGGGTGGGGGGTTCATGTTTTGTTAAGAGGTGACATGACAAGTACTGAATGGATGCGGTGTGAATGGATGCGGTGTGAATGGATGCGGTGTGAATGGATGCGGTGTGAATGGATGCGGTGTGAATGGATGCGGTGTGAATGGATGCGGTGTGAATGGATGCGGTGTGAATGGATGCGGGATGCGTGAATGGATCAGCGGTGTGAATGGATCAGCGGTGAATGAATGGATCAGCGTGAATGGATGCGGTGTGAATGGATGCGGTGTGAATGGATGCGGTGTGAATGGATGCGGTGTGAATGGATGCGGTGTGAATGGATGCGGTGTGAATGGATGCGGTGTGAATGGATGCGGTGTGAATGGATCAGTGTGAATGGATCAGTGTGAATGGATGCGGTGTGAATGGATGCGGTGTGAATGGATGCGGTGTGAATGGATGCGTGAATGGATCATGCGTGAATGGATCAGTGTGAATGGATGCGGTGTGAATGGATGCGGTGTGAATGGATGCGGTGTGAATGGATGCAGGTGTGAATGGATGCGGTGTGAATGGATGCGGTGTGAATGGATCAGTGTGAATGGATGCGGTGTGAATGGATACATTGTATCTCCTGTATACACCAGTAGCAGTATATAGACTCCTCTGCCTCTTATATTCTCAGTACTCTTCAGTGTCCTCTGTGTCTTGCAGCACCCTGAGGATGTCCCATGTCGGCGCTCTGGCGGCTCTGGGGGTCGCACTGACTGCAGCTGCTCTCTTCTCCGCCATCCACAAAATTGAAGAAGGACACGTCGGGGTGTATTACAGGTATGATGGGAACTACGGGGCCAAGACAACCCCCCCCCTCCCCCCTACACTCAGCTGTCTGTCCCAGCTCTGGGACCTGCATGGGGTGGTGATGCTTGGCATGGGTACCAGTCCACAGGGCAATACCTGGAGTCCAGGGGGGCTTTCACCAGTCCCTGATATCTGATAATTCCTGCAATAGGTCTGGCCGCAATCTTTATGCCCCTAAAAGATGTCTCTAGAACCTTCGCCCGGTAGAAGAAACCATGAAGGGACCCCTTTACCCCCCCGGCCGGGGTCTTTCCCTCCCAGCCCAGCGGCAGAACACCAGGGCACGGTCGCAAGTGCAACCTTTGTGATCCTGGTAATTCCGCAAGGATTTTTTTACATTATAAATATTCTTTTTTACAATTTTTTTTTAAAACACATTTCATAGTTTTTTTTTTTTTTTTTTTTTTTTTTTTTTTACAATTTATTTATTTTTACAATATTATTTTTTAAATTTTTTTGCCCTTTTTATATTTATTTTACAAACTTTTTTTTACTTTAAGTTTTTTTTTTTTTTTTTTTCATTTTTTACAATATTTTTTACCATTTATTTTTTACAATATTTTTTACCTTATTTTATTTTTTACAAGATTTTTTTATTTTTTACCTTATTTTTTACAAGATTTTTTTTTTTTTTACCATAATTATTTTACAATATTAAATTATTTTCTACTTTTTTAATTTTTTTTATTTTTTACAAGATAATTTTTTTTATCATTTTTTACTGTATTTATTTTACAATTTTTTATTTTTTTAATTTTTTACCATTTTTATTTTAGAATTTTTTTTTTTTTTTTAATTATTAATCTTCTTTTTTTATAGAAGCCCCCGTTGGGGAGCTTTCGTGACTTTCAGTTTGCACACATTTTTATTGATCGATCGTATTTAACCTTCCCAACCGCTCTGGCCGAAGGACGGCGACTGCGCTGTTATCTGGTTCTGGGACGACGTCCGTGGAAGTCGTTCCAGAACACGCGCCCCCAATGGAGCGCACCCGGCGCCAACAGTGATCACTGTGTCCTACGGACACGGCTGATCACGTCATACTATAAACGGCCAATCACAGCGGCCTTATACCACGTGATCAGCCGTGTCCAATGACAGAGGAGATCTCCGGGTAAATCAGTTGCAGGTTATCGGCTGCACTTTCCTGACATCGCAGCCTGAGGGAGGTACTGCTGAGAAGCGGCAATTGTTAGAGAAGGAATCGGCACTGATCATCAGTGCTGCCCACCTGTGCTCATCAGTGGTGCCCATCAGTGGTGCCCAGCAGTTCCGCCCCACAGTGCCACCCATCTGTGCCCTACAGTCCCGCCCATCTGTGCCCATCAGTGGTGCCCATCAGTGCCGCCCACCTGTGCCCATCAGTGCCGCCCACCTGTGCCCATCAGTGCCACCCACCTGTGCCCTACAGTGCCGCCCACCTGTGCCCATCAATGGTGCCCATCAGTGCCGCCCACCTGTGCCCATCAGTGCTGCCCATCAGCGGTGCCCTGTCCGCCCACCTGTGCCCAGCAGCGGTGCCCATCTGTGCCGCCCACCTGTGCCCTGCAGTTCCGCCCCACAGTGCCACCCATCTGTGCCCTACAGTCCCGCCCATCTGTGCCCATCAGTGGTGCCCATCAGTGCCGCCCACCTGTGCCCATCAGTGCCACCCACATGTGCCCATCAGTGCCACCCACCTGTGCCCTACAGTGCCGCCCACCTGTGCCCATCAATGGTGCCCATCAGTGCCGCCCACCTGTGCCCATCAGTGCTGCCCATCAGCGGTGCCCATCTGTGCCGCCCACCTGTGCCCAGCAGCGGTGCCCATCTGTGCCGCCCACCTGTGCCCTGCAGTGGTGCCCTACAGTGCCACCCACCTGTGCCCTACAGTGCCGCCCACCTGTGCCCTACAGTGCTGTGCCCATCAATAGTGCCCTGCATGCTGCCCACCTGTGCCCTGCAGTGATGCCCATCAGTGCCTCCCACCTGTGCCCATCAGGTGCCCATCAGTGCCGCCCATCAGTGGTGCCCATCAGTGCCGCCCACCTGTGCCCATCAGTGGTGCCCATCAGTGCCGCCCACCTGTGCCCATCAGTGCCGCCCACCTGTGCCCATCAGTGCCGCCCACCTGTGCCCATCGGTGCACCTATCGGTGCAGCTCATCAACGCACATCAGTGAAGGAGAAGTTACCTGTTTGCAAACATTTTGCTCTTTTTTTTTGTTTATAGCGCAAAAAAAGTAACCCCCAGCGGGGAATAAATCCCAGCAAAAAAAATCTCTACATGGAAAAATGATAAAAATGTCATCTGGGTGCAGTGTCGCATGACCGCGCAATTGTCATATAAAGTGCAACAGCGCTGAAATGTGATCGGGCATGTTGGAAAATTTGTGAAAAACAACCTATTTTCGACTCCATGATGGTCAAACCGCATTTCGACCCGTGAATGGCCGGCCTTAATGGTCACTCGAATTATCGGCCGTTTCTATGACCCACTAATGGTGCGAAATTCAAACAAAAAATCTTAGAAGAGATTTACGAAAGAAAATTCTTTCTGGATTCGATCGTTTTTTCCAAAACGAATCTGCGCGCGAGCCGTGACCTGGAAGGAGCAGAATCTTCGCCTGTTATACGGGGAGAACTTTATGACTCGGTCGGACGATTTCCGTAATCATTGATGGCGCCATCGGATTACCGAGCGAACGACGTTTCCGATTTTCGGATAGAAAAATCGTTCGGGATTCAACCCGTGTATTAGCTAAAATAAAATGGACTCCAATGGGCGCGTCTGTGCGGTTTTGTTTTTTTGTTTGTTTTGTTTTTTTTTTTGTGTTTTGCAGGACCGCAGACCGCGCCAATTGTGGTGACTTCCTGTAGACGGCATTCACATCACGGCGTTTCCTTGCGGACGCGGGTTTCGGAGTTGGTCGCGGAATTCTTTTCCCGCAGCAGTTTGCGTTTTTAGTCCAATAGACTTCACTGGAACTACATAGAAGACGCAAGAACTGCGCTTTGTGTGCGTTGTTGACGCAGTTTTGAGTTCTCCTTGTACCTCTGCTGGCGTCCAGATACTAGATAAACGCATCAGTGTGAGCCAGGCCTCAGTGGGGGAGGGGCACTTTTTTTTTTTTTTCCTCCTGGCCAAATATGCGCTGAAAATTCGGCAAGTGGGATTTTTTTAGTCCTCACGCACGCGAGACGGTTTTACAGCGGCTGGTTTTGGCTTTTGACGGTTTTTTCTTCCTCCATTAACCCCCCCCCGGCATGTTCTCCTCGGTGTCCATACACACACAGACTGGAATCAACGATTATTGGATGGAAAAACCTAGAACTAGCGGGTTCTAGAGGAGTTTTTTTTTAGCTGGAAAAACGCTCTAATGCAGTAAATCAGCATTTTTGGAATTTTTTTTTGACAAAAATTTTTTTTTTTTTTTGGTTAAAAAAAAAACTCTAAAAAGCACAAACGCGGCTAAGCGCTAATAAAAACGCTAAACGACCCCGAAAAAGTCACGTTTTTAATGTGACTTTATACAGATAACATTAACAGCATTATTACCCCCCCCCCCCCCCGGTGTGGGTGGAGCCTAAATACAGCGAGGGAAGTGCGGCGGACTAACGCAAGGACTTACAATGAATTTAAAGGGATGCATTTTTTTTTTTTTTCAACGCAGATACGCTGCAAAAACTACTCAGTGTGAAAGCAGCCTATTGGCCGAAAAGGAGCTGAAAATAAATTTATATTCCTTTAAATTCATGAGATTCATGAAAAAGTTGAATACAATATTATATATATATATGTATTTAAAAAAATGTTTTTATGAAAAAAAAAAAAAAAATTTGTCCTTTTCGGCCAAATGCATCCGGAATTTTCGGTCCAGGAATTTTGAGTTTGTTGCACCGCCGCAGATTTCCTCGCAGTGAGATCTGGTTTATGTAAAATTTCGAGGACATAATCCCAGTAAACTCGTATCCTCCGTGATGTGCATTTTATTTAATTAATTTAAAATAAATTCATAGTCATTTAAATTCATGCGATTCGTTAAAAAGTTTTTAATAAAATATTCTATATTAAAAAACATTTTTTTTTTTTTTAAACTGTCTGTTTCGGTTTTCGGCCAAATGCATCCAGTGTTTTCGGTCCAAGAATTTTGATTTTGTTTCACCGTCGCAGGTTTCCTCGCAGTGAGATCTGTTTTATGTAAGATTTCGAGGACATGATCCCAGTAAGTTTGTCGTATTCTCCGTGATGTGCATTTTTTTTATTTAAAGTAAATTCATGAAATTAATTAAAAGGTGGAATAATAAATTATATATAATATTAAATTCATATATTCATTAAATATATATATTATATAATAAAATTTATTTATATTTTTTTCTAAACTGACCTTTTCGGTTTTTCGGCCAAATGCATCCGTAATTTTCGGTCCAAGAATTTTGATTTTGTTTCACCGCCGCAGATTTCCTCGCAGTGAGATCTGTTTTATGTAAGATTTTGAGACATTATCCCAATAAATTTCGTTGTATCCTCTGTGATGTGCATTTTTATTGATTTTTAAGTTAAAATAAATTCAAATGAATTTAAATTCATGAGATTCATAAAAAGTTTACTTTTATGTATTTATAATATATATATATAAAAAACTGTCCTTTTTTTAGGTCAAATGCATCTGGAATTTTCGGTCCAAGAATTTTGATTTTGTCGCACCGTCGCAGGTTTCCTCGCAGTGAGATCTGTTTTATGTAAAATTTCGAGAACATAATCCCAGTAAATTTGTTGTATCCTCCGTGACGTGCATTTTATTTATTTAATTAAAATAAATTCATAAATTTAATTAAAAGATTCAGTATAAAATTATATATATATATATATATATTTATATATATATATATTATATTTATTTTTATTTTCTTTTTCATTTTTAAAGCTGTCCTTTTCAAATTTTCGGTCAAATGCATCTGGAATTTTCGGTCCAAGAATTTTGATTT